CTCAGGTGGGTCCCACTTATTGCACTAATAGCTAACTCACGGCCTCCAGCTCTCTTCAGTGAGGGACTGGATTAGTTCTATTTGAAGCCACAGAAAAATCTCGTTCGAGATTTTTTTGGTGGTTTTTTTCGATAGTGCGCCGGAAAAGGAAATGGGGGAAGAGGGTGAGGAAGGGAGGTCTTTGGCGGTGGAAGACGGTCAACGTCAGGCCATTCATAAAGAGTTCCACCTGGAGTTTCACCAAGAGGAAGCTGGTTATTAGTAGTTTTCTGCAATTTGCTTTTGCTACCTTTTAGTGGTTTTTTTTTTGTTATTGAAAGAGAAACAGAAATTTGTCTCTTTTCTCCATTTCTCGGTGACCATTAGCTTTTATAGGTAGTAAAGGAAGCGTACGAGGCGAGTCGGGTATTGTTCGACTCAGTGAATCGGAAGAAAATGGCGATCGCTTCGATCAAAGAAGTCGCACGCGGAGGAGGATCCATTGAACAGTTACGTGAGATGATAAGTGCTTTGTGAGATGGGCTGGTCACTGGCAGAAGAATAACAATAGCGTGAGCTAAATGATCAGGTTCTTAGTACATAATTCTCAATATCGTCTCTCGATACCATTCTAGGGATACAAGTTGATGCTGTAATTTTTTTACTGTGTAAAACTGATTTTTGTGGTGAACTTCACGGTGTATAACGTTGTCATAATTCACTTTAGCGCGGTAATATTGCATAATCCGGCGCAGTTCGGCTTGGTGGGGGCACTGAATAGTGCTCAACTGAGCAATCTTCTGACGACCTGCAAGTACCCCCCCCACCATAGTAGATCACTGTAACCATTTCGCAGCTTTACGGGAAGTTGCAAGTTTTACTTTGATCAGACCTGTTATTGAGCAGGAACTAACAAAAGGAACAAGAAAATGTGTAAAATTCCCCTCCAAGCCGAACAGTGCCAGTAACTCTCATAATACATCGAAGAAATGATGGTATGGTACCACCACGGACTGATTTAACTTTTCGTGTTGTCAATTTGCTTTTGATAGAATTCTGAGCTTTACTTGGCTTTACTACAGTAATTTTTAGATTGTGAATTGGATGATGATGATTGTTAAACTGTGTTATTATTTTGTGAATTTTGTCAGTGAAATAGATCTTTGCCGTTTTTGTTCTACCAGACTAGTGCAGAGGCCAACAATAATCTCATCTAATAATCTTCATCAAAAAGCCAAGCTAGTTATATCAGGGCGGGCCGCCAACAGGTGGGCGGGGCTGCTACGACGAATGGTTTCTTCAGCGCGTTTGTCGCTCTTTCATGGGCGGCAAAAGGGCGGATGCCATCATTCGTTGTGTAGTGGAAAGTGGCTCCGTTTGCCGCACGCACGATTCAAGGATCAAACTTTGGATGGGCTCCAGCCAAGACCCACCATCGCGTTGCAATAAATTCCTGCAAAGTACTCTCCCTACCCTAATTCCAT